ACTGAGGTGTAACGCGAGTAGTCGTCAACCACCAACAGGAAGTAGCGCTCGTGACCCTGCCCACGGACGGGGGCCGGGCCCCACACGTCCATGTGAAGCGTCTGCAGAGGAGCCTCTGTCGGGGGAAACTGGGAGGAGTGAGGAGCAGCCCTGAGGCGCCCCTCGACACAGGGGACACAGGAAGGTCCTGGTCCCGAAGGAAGGGGAGGGAGAGACTGGGGAAGACAAGAGACAAGGACACGGGAAGCCATGCCCCGAAGACGGGGCAAGGAGGGGTGGCCTAGACGGTGGTGCCACAGAAGAGTCTCGTGAGACAGGAGGCGACACGAACAGGGGGCAGACTCAGGACCAGACCTGGACGCAGCAGCAAACACCTGACCCGACGCTGCTACCTGACCGGACGCGGGGACAGGAGGAGACTCAGTGGTCAGGGTGTAGAGGCTCGACCCCGGCCGACGCGAGAACGTGGCCAGGTGCCGGCCTGTGCGTGCGTCCGTGCAGTGGGTCACCCGCTGACTCGCAGGAGTGAATTGGTGAACCCCCGCATCCTATAGGTCTGCACCACTCACCAAGTTCGTCGAGAACGAGGGGAGGTACAGGCCAGACAGGGTGCCCGAGGGGGCAGCCGGACACGGGAGGACAGTGGAGAAGTGAGCGAGGACAGGACCCCCAGAGGGGTCAGCCAGGGAGACTGCAACCGGCCGACCAAGCGGCGTGAGTGTGGTGCGGTCCCGAAAGAAGGAGCGAGAAGCCCCAGAGTCAAGTGTAAAGGTGAGGGAGGCCGAAGCCAACGCGGTACCTGAGAGCGCAGCCTCACCCGCACCTGAGGAAGCAGACTCACTAGCACCTAGAGCAGCAGCCGCACCTGTACCTGGAGCAGGAGACTCACTAGCACCCAGAGCAGCAGCCTCACCAGTAGCTAGAGCAGCAGGTCCTATACCTGGGTCAGGCGGGACGCACAGGTGACCGGCACGGTCAGCACTAGTAGGCAATGCATACATGGCAGTGAGAATAGCATCATAGTCAAGAGCATATATATCTACCCTCTGCCTAAGCAACTCCACCCAGTCGGGAAGCTCAGCCTCGTCGCCAAACACGGTACGCCAGGCGTCGCTCAGACGGGCGAAGCAGCGGGACGGTGTATGACTACGTGTCCCACAAGGCTGACCAGTCCGAGTACCAGTGCGAATCACGTAAGAGCAGCGAACAGCACTGAGAGACCCTCCACTCTGAGCGTACCACTCACGAAGCTGGCGAGGCGTGAGAGACACGCGAGAGGGTCGCGGGAGCTGCATCTGGCCGCCACCACGAGTAGAAGCAGCAGGAGTGGAAGTAGGAGTAGCGTCGCCACCCCTACAGCCCCAACCAGCGTACCACTCACGCAGCTGCTGGGGCGTGAGGGACTCACGCCGGCGTCGCTGGGGCTGCATTTGGCTCCGCAAGTAGAAGCAGGAGCAGGACTAGCAGCAGGGAGGCAGGCAGCCAGGCAAGCCAAAAGGCAGGCAGGCAGGCAAGCAGGCGACTCGCAGCGTGCTAGCAGGGCAAGAGCTCACCAGTGGTGGGAAGAGTAGGCTCGGCGACGCAGCGGCTCGGCAGCTCGGCGGCTCGGCGGCTCGGCGGCTCGGCGGCTCGGGCAACTCGGGCGGCTCGGCGGCAAGGCGGCTCGGCAGCAACTGCAGCTCAGCAGCTCGGTGACTCGGCGGCTCGGCGGCAGGGCGGCTCGGCAGCAACTGCAGCTCAGCAGCTCAGCGACCCGGCGGCTCGGCGGCAGGGCGGCTCGGCTGCTGGGCGGCTCGGGTGCAGGGCGGCTCGGCGGTGGGGCGGCTCGGCTGCTGCAGGTGAGCGGCTCGGCTGCTGCAGTGGGAGATGAAGGAGGAGGAGAAGCAGGGGAGGCCACACACCTGCCACCCCACTGCAGCGGCCCCCTCAGGTCGCCTCGACAGGCGACGGGAAAAAGGGGGGGGGGTGGGTGGTGGGGGGGGCCGGTAGGTGCAGCGGCGGGGCCAGCAGGTGCAGTTGCGGGGCCGGTAGAAGGGGACGGCAGGAGCCGTCAGGAGGGGACGGCGGGGCCGTTACGAAGGGACGGCGGGGCCGTCAGGAGGTGACCGGGCCGCGACGGGGGCAGGCGGCGGGGCCGCGTAAGGGCCTGGGCGGGGCCGCGACAGAGCCGTCGGCGGGGCCGCGTGAAAGCCGGGGCGGGGCCGCGTAGAAGCCGGGGCGGGGCCGCGCGAGAGCAGGCGGCGGGGCCGCGAAGGAGCCGGGGCGGGGCCGCGTGAGAGCAGGCGGCGGAGCCGCGTAAGGGCCTGGGCGGGGCCGCGACAAAGCCGTCGGCGGGGCCGCGTGAAAGCCGGGGCGGGGCCGCGTAGAAGCCGGGGCGGGGCCGCGCGAGAGCAGGCGGCGGGGCCGCGAAGGAGCCGGGGCGGGGCCGCGTGAGAGCAGGCGGCGGAGCCGCGTAAGGGCCTGGGCGGGGCCGCGACAAAGCCGTCGGCGGGGCCGCGTGAAAGCCGGGGCGGGGCCGCGTAGAAGCCGGGGCGGGGCCGCGCGAGAGCAGGCGGCGGGGCCGCGAAGGAGCCGGGGCGGGGCCGCGTGAGAGCAGGCGGCGGAGCCGCGTAAGGGCCTGGGCGGGGCCGCGACAAAGCCGTCGGCGGGGCCGCGTGAAAGCCGGGGCGGGGCCGCGTAGAAGCCGGGGCGGGGCCGCGCGAGAGCAGGCGGCGGGGCCGCGAAGGAGCCGGGGCGGGGCCGCGTGAGAGCAGGCGGCGGGGCCGCGACAGAGAGGGCGGCGGGGCCGCGTCAGTGAAGGCGGCGGGGCTGCAGGGGAAATGGCGACCCGAGGGGTCGCTAAAAAAAAGATCGCGCCTCGGGGGGCGCTTCGGTGGGCCCAAGAAAAAACGGTCCGTAGAAGGACCCGCTCTATACCATGTGAGAATAAGCGAACAGGAATGAATGAACTAGCAGTGAAATGAGTACAAGTAGGAAACCCTAGAATTGTGTACCCCCTATAGGCTAACCCACTGTAGCCTACACAAGCAGAACATATCTAATGTTTGACACTTCATCCGACTCGCTGGCTATGGCCCACGGTCAGAGGGACCATTGATTCGTGTCTTCGGTCACGGTTCAACCAGCGAGGGCCAGGCTAGGCCACCTTCATACACTACGATCCGGAACTGGTGCAAGGAAGCCTTCGCAAAGGTTGGCCTTGGAGAGTTGCAGCTAGACACCCATTCTTTCCGAAAAGGTGCAGCCACAGTAGCAGCCAACACGGGAGTGCCAGACAGAGTCTTCAAACGGCTGGGCAGATGGCGAAGCGACACAGCAAAGGAAATGTATGTTACGCCATACGTCGAGCCCCTCATCGAAGCCTCCCGTGCCCTACAAGATTCGACGCATGCGGTGTCATCGGCGCAACACACAGAGGCACTCGTACGCAACCGGAGGCCCCCGCTGCCCATGTCTCAGAGACCCCATTTGTAATGAGAACGATGCCAATTGATAAGAAAGAAAGCAAGCTTTCTCAATATAATAATTTTTAAACACACATGTACTGTTTTTTAAAATTGTGTATTGGGAAAGCGAAGCTGCTTGTACTGCACAATTGGCACCGTCGAAGCGCGCTAAACGCCCTTCTCCAACTACAAAAACCGTGGGTTGGAGCTCATTTCCCTCCACCCACGTTTCTCAATTTTCAAACGGCTCACTCAACATTCCCACCACCCACCCCAGTGTAAACCGCCTTGCTAATGCCACTTGGATAGGGTACATAATAGCTAGTGTTATTAGTCCGCACTAGCTTATGTCGAACGATGATGCAAATGTTGTAACACGCCATTTGTAATGAGAACGATGCCAATGCCATTTGTAATGAGAACGATGCCAATTGATAAGAAAGAAAGCAAGCTTTCTCAATGCTGGAATTCGCTTTCAACAACGCACCATCCGGCACGACTAATCACTCCCCATTTTTCCTGAATTATGGGATGGACCCGGCGGTTCCGACGACAACTACACTCGCCAACCCGGTCCCGCGTTCCCAGACTTTCGTGACGGAACTCCAGGAAGTCCGCGAAAAAGCCGCCGACGCAATTCGCAAAGCGAATATTACTTCCCGCAAATACACCAACCTTCTTCGCCGGGAACTCGTCTTGACTACTAGGCAACTAGTCCTCCTCGACACAAAAAACCTGAACCTGCCCGGCCCTGCGAAACTTCGGCCACGATTTTGCGGACCGTTCAAAATTCTCAAGATGGTGACACCTGTCACCGCTAAGCTGTTGCTACCCGACGATTGGCATATACATGACGCGTTCCACATCAGCCTTCTTCGGCAGTTCGTGCCTACCACGACCGACATCGCACGTCAGCAAGCGGCACCGACAGCTCGCCCCGTCCCGGAGCCAACCCTTGACCCTTCCAAGATTCTAGCTCATCGGGTCCGCCTTGACGCCGCTGGACGCCACGTGGATTTCTTAATTCGCTGGACCGACCGCACCAGTGAGGACGACACGTGGGTGCCATCCGCTTCACTGGACGCCTCGACGCTTGTTGGTGATTATCTGGCGCGACGGCGTGTTTCGGCAATTGACTACCTTTCTTGAAGGGGGGGGGGGGGGTGGTGTAAGGAATTTTCCCGAATTCCTTATCGGGGTTGACTGCTTCGCGTACAACCCGATTTTCGGAGTTCGCACGTTCGGCCGATTTCAACGCTGCCGAGGCTCCTCACGTCGCCTTCGGTTTTCCCATCGCCAAACCTGAACCCAACCTCGCTCGTCCGAGGTTTCCTCCTAGCTAGAGTAGTCCTACATTAGTCTGTGCATTCATTGTATTCGCAGTTGATTCAATCACAGCTTCATTATTCGTTTACCTGCGCACTCTCTTTTACAACTCATAACACAGCCCAACAATGTGTAACGCTCATACGGGGGGATACAAGTTACAATACACTGTACCCTGCTGTTACAGGGAGCAAGCACAACACCATCATTTACACAATCTTGCATAGCTTAGCAGGGAATTCTCGTTTGGTTTTTCCATGTATGCCACCTGATGAACCGTCCAGGCCAAAACTTCTTCAGCTGTTCCTTCGTAAGGACCTTAGGCTGTACCCACGCCGCTCTCCTACCCTCTGCAGCCCCAGGCCCATGCGACCCATACTCTGCAAAGAACGGGGACCGGCTCGACGGCCTCCCATGCCAAGCGGCCCACCCTTCAGCATTCACAACACTGCTCATCCTGCTCTCAATGAACACTGTTCTCGCATACATGCCCCACGGCCGGGCCAGATACACCCTCCCCTGCTGGCTCGCCTGAGTTCCCGGCTCACTGCCCTTCACCTCTGATCGAATAAACACAAACCCAGTGCCCTCTGAAGCCGAGGCTCGGCCTGATGCCGCCACGTAGACAGGTTCAGGGCTGGGCCGCGCAACGAGCGCGCAGCGATAGAACACAGCAGCAGCATGGCCGAAGATAAAGTCCGTAGTGCCCTCGATCAGACAGTGGCTGTAGTAATGCCGGCCTTCTTGCGCAAAGAGCGTGTCCTGGTATCCCGAGAAGCGGCAGTGGTAGAAAGCGGTCTTGTCGCCGTCGGACCGCGCTGCCACCGCCTGCTTGCCTTGCGGCCCTGCCGTGTTCTCCACGCCCAACCCCATGCCCACGAAATTCGACCCGTAAATGCCTGCAGCCGGGCGGAGGCGAGAGCAGGCACAGAGGACAAGGCAGGATTAATCTCTCAGAAGCTGGGGCCTGCATCATTGGGGGTACCTGCGCGGCCGGCAAATGGTTACTGCAAGCACCGCAAGAAGCAATTCATTCACGAGACCATGCCTCCATGCACCCCATGCACGGGAGCCCCCATCCACGAATGCACCCCAAGCATGGGTGCCCCCATCCACTCATGCGCCTCATGTATGGGTGCCCCCATCCACGCATGCGTCCCATGCATGCATGAATCCACTACACGCACTGAGAGTGGCCGTGTCCATGAGCGGAGTGCCCTCCGCCTGGTTGCGCCCCGCCCGAATGACCGTGCGCATGTGCCCCTCCCCCACCAGCACCACGCGGTCCTGCCGCACGCGCACCTGCTCCTCGTACACGCCCGCGCGCACGTAGATCACCGCGCCCTTGGGAGCCGCCGCCATGGCTTCCTACTAGAAGGAATGGGCCGAGGAAAGGTACTAACGACGTAAGGTGCAAGTGCAGGAGACGCGACGCCTTTTGAGACACACACTTTTCAGACACGGGATTACCAATGGCGGAATCACGGGACATGCACGTAGTACGCGGCGTCTCGGCGTGATCATGACTCAAGTTGATCGTACAACGTTGTAGTAAGTAGAGACGTTGCGAGATTGGCTTTGGTGTTGAGCTCGTTGTGGAGTGACTCGCTACGAGACCTACGATATCGGACTGGCAGCTACTACCCTGGGATTACCGAGATAGTGCGGTAGTTTCCGGTCCCGTCCTTCGCCACCACGATGGACGGCCGGAGCGAGCCAATGAACTCGCGCCACTTGGACAGCCGCGCCGGCGAGAGGCATCTGCCGGCAGCTCGCTGGCGTCGCGGCTGTTTGGCCGCCGCCATTGCTGTGCGCGGGTGGGCGAGGCGATGACGAAGCGAAGGAGGGGGGAGGGGCAGACGAAAAGGGCAGATGAAAGGGGCAGATGAACGGGGCAGCGGAAAGGGGCAGACGAAGGGGAAGAGAGGGGGGAAATGAAGAGAGAGGAAGGGTAGGAGGGGAGTTGGGGGAAGGGGCCTTTAGGATGTGCAGAGTGGCGAGAAACGCTGGATGCTCGGAGGATCGTGAATTGGGAGAGCAGAGCTGGTTGGAATGGGGAGTGGTCTGAGACGAGAGGCTTGAAGCCACGTGGTAGAGGGGGGCGGCGAGGAGGGAAAAGAGGGCGGGGAGGGGACACTTGATTAGCTGTATGTTATATCGCGAAGCACAGGAGGAGGAGAAATGTGGAAACGGGAAGGTAAGGGTATCGGGAAACCAGGTGTTTGGGGGTGGGGAATTGCTTCTAACGTTGGGCGGTGGAATTGAGCCAAGTGCAACACCGTGTTGAATGCGTTTTAGGGTGGGTTTTCTCATTGAATGCGTTTCTTTAAAAGACATTAGAGATACGCTTGCAGCAAGAAGGACATGTCCTCACCAGTCACGGAGGCCGCAGCGACAAGGGTGTCGCGCGCCTCATTGCGGCTTCGCTTTTGCCCGTTGCTGATCTGTGGAGCGTCTGTGAATATGACATCCGCGCTCGTGGCGCTGCTGCTGCTGCTGCCGCTGCCGCGGTCGCTGCTGTCAAAGCGGCTGGCAGCTGCGGTCGTGTGGTGGGCGACGTGAGAGAGCTGCGCGAAAAGCACGAGGAAAAGGGCAAGTAATCGCGAAAGCAAGGCCGCCTGGAAAGGAAGAATCATATTTGAGAGGCCACAAGCGACAATAAGGTATAAGAGAACTATTGAAGTCTGATCTGCGTCGAGAACGGAAACTCAAGTACTTGGATGCATTGGCTGGCTGGCTGGGGATCAGGCGAATGAAAATGCTGGAATGGGGGGCTCGGTAAGAAGCGTTAGAAAACGCTGGGATAAGGTTGAGAGATCAGGTTTTCTGCTGGAGATAGACACGCGGCTCGGTGGTTGGTTTGGACGTCAGGCGACGCGGCAGGGGGGTTCGTCAGGCGATGGTCGGTGCGATTGTGATTGGTTGCTGAGAGTGCCTGGCCAGAGGCAGCACCGTTTAAAACCAGACTCCGAATCATTGCAAGTTCCTCTCTCCATAGATTGGTACATTTTGAAGTGTATGTGCCTTATTTAGGCAAACATTGCAGTGCGCAGCTTAGCCAGCAACAGCATACATGCCAAGAAAAACTCATCGTTTCTAAAATCTCATATGCCAAACGAGTGCAACGAAAGTACAGGTTCATTGCACCAAATCATCTGCAACCATTTCCTTGTTCTGCCTCTGTTGATTACTGCCGTCCCTCTGTCCTCCCGTCCTGCCTCTGGCCGACCCATGCATCATCCCACGGCCTCTCCTCCGGCCAAAGCTAACAGACCGGGGCACAAAGTCCGACGTGGAGAGGCGAGATACAGCCACTGCAAGCTTGTCCACATCCATGCCACCTGAGTCAGGGACGACAGGGCTTGACGCTGCTGCTTCCAATGGACCTTCTAGGTTTTCTGTGGCTCCGCACGTTGGTGTGCCATCACCCCCTGGTACTGCATACACTGCATCACTAACCTTTACTGTGCCAACTGTGCCAGCCGTGCCAGCACCACCGGTGCCACCCGTGCTATCTACACCACCTGTTACACCTGCATCACCACGAGCTCCCATGTGCCCAATCAAATCTGCAACATCCCCCCCACCAGCATCCTTCACAACCTCTTCACGCTCCACTTCCATACCCCCTTCACCCCCCACCCCACCCCCCTCCCCACCTCTCCCCTCTCCCCCACCCTCACCCTCCCCATCCATCTCCATCCCAGCTCCCCCTCTCCCACCCCCCCTCCCCCTCCCACGCCCTCCTCTCCCTCCCCTCCCCCTCCCCCTCTCCCCACCTCCCATCCCCCCCTCTCTCCCCCCTCCCTCCCCCTTATGCTGCGCCATCTGTCGCCGTCTCCGCTGGGAGGGGTGGGAGTGGGAGAGCGAGTGGAAGTGGAAGGAGGGCGGGTAGTGGTGGCGGTCCACCAGGTGCTGCTGCCGAACAGCGTCCGAGGGGAAGCGGTGCGTGCATGTCTCCACCAGGCACTCGTACATGGCCACCCCTCGCGCCACCTTCGCCTGCACACCGCGTGTGTTTGCATGCGGCATGGATGGGTGATTGCGTGAATGCACGAGAGTGTGAAATCATGCATGCGTGGATGTGGGAGAGCGACAGGCGACAGCACTTGGTTAGATGCAAGCTGCAGAACAGCAGGCACGGTACAAACTGCAAAATGCACCAGAAGAAACACACGGCGAGAGGCACAGTCACGGGTGAATTCAGCTTACATAGTATACTGCCTGAAGGGATGGTTTGGTGGCTGACCTGGAAGAAGGAATCATGGGCTTCTGCCACGTGGATGTTGAGCAGGCGATTGGAGGGAAACGCCTTGCTACACGTGGCGCACATCGCGCGGTGCATGGCCTGGTGATGCGCGTCCAGGGCCAGAGCTCCCTGCACCACCACGTGGCAGCCTGGGATTGGGCATCTGATAGGCTCTTCGAACGCGTTCTTGTTTATGATTCGCTCTGTAGCCTCGGATACTGCATCTGCTTTATGCGCGACAGCGCCGGATAGTACATCCGAAGCTTCAATTGAAGGAGGTATGGCGCTTGCATTTCCTGAGTCAATATCTGTCGCCTCCGTGTTAACCGCCATGGCGTCACCTTCTCTCCTGGCTTCTTCACTGGCTGCATCTGCACCGTCGATTCCGCTCGCCAAGGACTCTCCTGCGCCGTCCGATTCTCCCCGCACTTGTCGCATGATGGCCTCTACTTCCTCCGCAGTCACCAGTAACGACAGCTGCTTCGCCAGCAGCTCCCGTTCCGCATCTCCCGCCGCGAAGAACGCTCCCCCGACCCGCTGGCGGCGCTTCCTCCCCGCGAGCGCGGGGAAGCGGAAAGTCGCGGGCTGGACGGAAGCGCCAACGGTTCCGCCTCCGCACACTGCGCCTGACCCGTCTGTGGAAGGCGCGGGTGAATCCCCCTGCGGTGCTAGGCCGGGGACGGCGGAGAGGTTCGTCGAGTGAGTATCCAGTCCGTCAGTCATGGCTGATGCTGGCCGGCTGGCAGACGGCTGTGACGTTGGGTAGTTCAGCGTGATGACGTGGCAAGGCGGCACGGCACTCGAGGCAAGGAACTGCAGCTGACTGAACACTCAAATCTGTGCGATGCGAAGTTTGTCTTGCAGCAACAGATCTCATTTTCAGGACCAGGTTGCCTGCTCCCACACTTGATAAGGAAGAATTCGGGACTCGTTTTTGATTGACTCACTGTAGCGCAACACTTGAATTTCGGTTATTTGCGGTATACAATCTCAAACACACGCTCCTTCGTGTTCCCCTCACAAACCAAAAACGCTGCCTTCCTCACAGCTCTCATTTGCTACCCCTCGATATTTCCTTCCGACCTCTCCCAACCTCCCCAAACCAGGATATTTAGCGACCCATCCCTGATTTGCTGCTCATTTCTCTACCACCAAATACGCACCGCCATCAGCCATGGCGGTTCTCTCCTGCGCTGCTGCACCTCCGTTGCTTCGCATCGCTCAGTCATCCCGATCCTCCTCGCCCGCCTTCTCCTCCTGCCGCTTCGTTCCTTTGTGCTCCTCTCCCCTTCGCTCTTTCCATCTCACCTCCACGCGACCACGTCTACCCTCCCTAGCAAACTCCGCGCGTTTCCGCGCACATCAGCGCTCCGCGCATGCCGCGAGCGCCGTCCGACCAGCAGAACCGGCCGCCTTCGACACCCGCGCTCCCCACCTCACATGCGCGCGGGGAGCACTACATTCCGCGCACGCCAATGCCGCGCGGATACCACAACTGGTTACTGCCGCTATTTCCGCGAATGTCGACGCGCTGCGAGCTAATGCCGTGTGGGTGCTGGCGCGGGCAGGCGTGGGCATAAGCGCGGGGCTGGCGTTGGGAGTTCCGGGGGCTCTTGCTGTGGGCGGCGAGGCGTGGACTGACGCGGTTGGGGACCTGGAAACGCCCTACTCTCCCGACGCCGCCACGTTCCTCCCGTTCCTGTACGTCCCTGTGCTTCGTACTCTTCTTTCGCTGGGGATACCTCTGGCTGTACCTCGGAATGTCTGTGTGTGTGTTTGCGTTGTGTTTGGTGGTAATGGTTGTGGACCAGTTGAATAGGGAGGGAGGTGTACACGCAGGCATACGTGTGGTGGATGCTGCAGACGCGTGCGAGGAGATAGGCCGTTCCTGGAAGAAAATACTGGTGTTTGCAGATTACGAAAGCACGCAACCTGATTCATTTCTGCTGTGATGCTGCTCGTGCACCATGCTTCATTCGTCATCCAGCACGCATCTGCGTGTCCCTCATTCTCTGTCCCATCTTATTCCCACCGCTCCTCCAACAACCGCCTCCAATCTCCCTCCACCTCCGTTTGCCTTCATCCCCTTTCACCCCGGGCCCCTGTCCATCAGCATTGCATTCCTGGTGCTGTTCTGGCTGAGCAATTATGTGGCGCCTCTTTAGAGTCGACTCAAATGTCATCTCGTTTGCCTTTCCCCTGTCACCCCGGGCCCCTGTCCATCAGCATTGCATTCCTGGTGCTGTTCTGGCTGAGCAATTACGTGGCGCCTCACTACATTTTCAAGGACACCGTCTTTAGAGAGGAGGCTTCAGAGGACGGCACTGCCAGCGTTGACGGCAGCACACAGCAAGGAAAGCAGCCCACCAGCTCTACCAGTGCCGCCAGTCTAGGGGAGGGAAAGGGTTTTGGCAAGAAGTGAAGAGAGACTGCAGTGCACTGTACAATCCCCTGGACCACCAGTTCTTGTGTGCGCCTTGATGATTGTGAAAGAAAGCCAATGTCAAGCTCCAATTACTGCCCGAGCAATCAAGAATGAGCTTGCTAATGCAGCCAGTGATGATAAAGTTCTTGCTCATCTTTGTCATACCTCAAATCAATAAAAACAAACTGTCATTGTAACAATAATGTATGGTAATTCGTCCCCAGCACGACGCACTATGCACTATCAGAAGTGGCTGCTTCACCATCCTTGGCAGCCTCTCCATCTGCCTTCCCAGCAGCGGCAGCAGCGATCTGTGCAGCCATGCCCATGAGAGGTGCGTGCACTTGATCAAAGACTGGGTTGCACGCGGCCCTTACTGCCTCCAGCCATGCCCGCACCTTCTTGTGCTCGCCCAGCAATACCTCCTTGCCCTCCGGGCCCAAAAACTGGTTGGGCATGAGATGGGGCGACAACACAGAACGCGGAGTGCGGAATGCAGATTGCACAATGCGGAGCAAAAACGGAAGATAGAGGTTAGCCAATGAATGCAGGCGGAGGAGGGTTTGAATTCAACTGTCAGTGACAAGGAGCTTCGCATGTCCTAAGGAGATTCCTAACTGAAAACAGCAATGCTGGCTCACCTCCAGCTGCGTTAGCTCGCATGCAATGCATAGGTCAGCCAGGGTGGGTTGCGAATTCCCGTCCAGGAACTTAGGCGCGTCTGGGTCATCAGGGTTTGCCTGTGCGAGCATGATGCTCTCCAAGGCAGAGAGCGACGACTGGAGCCCACGGCGGGACAGCGCTGCCACGTGCATGTCGCCCTGCACGCCGAACATGGCTGCCACCACCTCGTTGAACACTATGCCCACTGGAGGTTAAGTGAGAAACAGAGGAGCGGAGGGGGAGAGGAAGTGCGGCGTTGTAGGGTGACAAGCGCGATGGACCAAGGGCATTCCAATTACGGCATGGCTAGGGAAATATAGGGAGGAAGGTAAGGATGGAACAATGTGTTGCGATTGTTGGCGTGAGAGGGGGGAAGTACCGGTGTTTCTGCGCGTGTTGGTGTGGTGCCAGTCCAAGAGCGCGTCAACTCGTGCTCGCTTCTGCACATCACGTGGGTACCATGAATCGTCGCATGGGCGAGATGCCACGACGTACTTGAGAATGGCGTGGCTGCATGCGTGGAGTGGGGTAAGGCGCACATAAGCACACGCGGAGCAACACACAGTGAGTTGGTGTGTGTGTGTGTGTGTGTGTGTGTGTGTGTGTGTGTGTGTGTGTGTGTGTGTGTGTGTGTGTGCGATCCTATGTGGGTGTGCCTCACGAGCTTATAGTGAGAAAGCGAAAGAGATAGAAGCCCGGAGAGAGAGAGAGAGAGAGAGAGAGAGAGAGAGAGAGAGAGAGAGAGAGAGAGAGAGAGAGAGAGAGAGAGAGAGAGAGAGACAGAGGGGGAGAGAGAGAGAGGGGGGAGAGAAAGAATGGGGGGAGGGCGGGGGGTCACTCGATCTGTTGAAGTATACCTCTCGTTCAGTTTGAATCCATTATCATCCAAAGCGGGCACCAGGCCGTGCGGGTTCACCTCTGCAAACACACATCCACACATTTAGTCAAGTCACAATGCAGAGAGGAGCAGACAACATGACAAGCCCTGGTAACACAACAGCGAGCAGATCATCTGAGCGACACGTCGGCTTGAAGTGATGTATTGCCAGTGGCGGGCTTCTGACTCGGCAGGCATTGTACCTTTGAATGCGGGCTGACGGTGTTCACCCTTCATCATATCCACAATACGCTCTTCATACTCGACATTGTTCAACCTGCACAGAATACAGTTGTTATTCTAATTAGCATTTAAATGTAATTCAAAACAACCGTACGTGACTTCATGATACCGGCCAATGCGGAACCTGGACACGAGTCCCCCCCTGTAAAATCAACCGCAGCAGCCTCGTAGCAGCATGTGAAGGCTCCTAAAAAAAAATATGAACGACAGGTCACAAACGACAGCTTACTTGAGGAAGATGCTGACCGAGCGGGATGGCTGCGAGGCTGGGTGCATATAGATTACAAGGCCCATTATGGCAGGTATAGGAGAGAAACGAGACTTGGATTAGAAATGATGGATTCACGGCAGCAGCCAAGGGACCCTAGAGTTGTATGTGGATGAATTCAGGGATGTAGGTCACAACCTATGCAGAGCTGTTTTCTAATGGTTGCAGCTACGTACGGCAACAGCAGCAGCGGCGGAAAGCACAGAAGCCACTTGACAAGGAGATGGCGATGGGTAAATGGAGGCAGGCAGCTGCGAATCGTCAGTTTACTGTTACCGTTTCGGCACAGGATGTGCTGAGCGAGATTTCATGTTGGCGAAAGGTCAAGTAACAAATGTGTATTGGGGGCAGATACTGCACAATCGTAATTTCGAAGGTTCCAGAAGCATAATTTCAGAAGTTCCAATACCGCTACTCCCGCTTCTGGTGTTACACGCAATAGAGAGGATATGTCGCCAATAAGCAAAGCACTGAACGTCTAACAAACCCAGCACCACCACTGTCCAACTGAGAGCGGAAACCGTTCTTGACCGAGCCCGCGTGCAAGGCACTCATGATATGCGAAACCAACAGCCCTTTATTCTCTTCACCTCCCTTCTCATCTCACCAATAACTAGGCCCTCTGCTCCGCCTGTCTCGTTCCTTCGATCACGCTCCCCTCTCTCACTCCGCGTTTCCTCTCGTAATTATAGCCGCTTCGCAGCGTTCATATTCCACGCTGCGAGCGATGGCCGAATCGGGCGCGGACGTGGAAACAGCGACGTTCGAGTCGCTAGGAATTTGCAGCCAGCTAGTGGAGGCGTGTCAGACGCTCGGGTGGAAGAACCCCACGCCCATTCAGTGCTCCGCCATTCCACCCGCTATTCAAGGTGCGCGTCGCCCGCTCTAGCGCGTGCTTCTCCTCTAGCGCGCTTCCAAAACCGCATCTCCGAAATCTAGTCACTCAAATCCCGGCTCTAGAAACCCGTCCTTTGGTTGTCGCATGTACCGTGGGGGATCTCTTTCGGTTCTAGACCTCATTAAAACCCGTGTCGATCCTGCCTTCTTCAGCCTTGCAGGCCCTCCAATGCCTTAGCTATGGAGCGTCGTAGCATCTCCCCTGCCTCCCCATAGCTAACGCCATTCCACGTTCTCTCTCTGTCCTACCGCTGTCCTAACCGCAATCCATACCGCTGACTCTACCGTTTTCTGTACCGCCTTTCCCTCCGCTCTTTCGACTGGTGTGTGCGCACGGGCGTGTCACGCGGGCAGGTCGCGACGTGATCGGGCTAGCGCAGACGGGCTCCGGCAAGACCGCGGCGTTCACTATCCCCATTCTCGAGGCCCTCTTAGCGAAACCTTCGCCGCTCTTCGCCTGTATACTGTCGCCAACACGGTACGCGCCACGCCATGCCACGTCACGTCGTCACGTCACGTCACGTCACGTCACATGATGCTGGGTCAATCGTATTAGCACAGGTCCCGTGCTCGTGCAACGTATAGCGAGTTTATCCCATCTTAAACCCAGAGTCGTGAATGAACCCCTCACGCATCAACCGTGTTCGTGTATCAGCTTCAACGGGGAAAGAGGGCAATCCCCACCGTGTTTGCACGCGCTAGAACCCTACTTTAGGAAACCCTAAAACCCGCCCCACGAAACTTATCAACTCCATTTGTTCCGTCCCGTCCTGTCCCGTCCCGTTCCGATTCGTTCGTGTGTGCGTGTGTGCGGAGTGCGAGCAGCGAGTTGGCCATTCAAATAGCAGAGCAGTGCGAGGCGCTTGGCAGCAGCATAGGCCTCAAATGCGCCGTGGTTAGTTGGCCCTTCCCTCTCCTCCCCGCCCTCTCCTCCTCGCCCTCTCCTCCTCGCCCTCTCCTCCTCGCCTTGTCCTCCTCGCTTGGTGAGCTTCTGCTCTTTTTCTCTCTGCACTTGATGCCGACAACCATTTGCTGTTTGTCTTCCTCCGTCAACGCCCTCTCCTCCTCGCGACAACACATCTACCACTCTCTCTCGCGCGCGCGCACTTCCCCATCCACCGTACGTCCTCCTCGTCCTCACCCTACAAAGAGCAGCGTAGAGCGTCCAAACCTCATTGTTATTCCTCCTGTGCTCCTTCTCTTCTGCTGCGGTGCGGTGCGGTGCTGTGTTGTGCAGATAGTGGGAGGCGTGGACATGGTAGCTCAGGCGATTGCGCTGGGAAAGCGGCCACACATCATTGTACGGCGCTCTGGTCTTTATCCTACAGGAATGCTGTGATGTGGTTTCGTGTGGTTCACTGCGGTGCAACGCAATGTGACACGGCGCGATGTGTTTCTAAACTGCTGCATGCGGTCAAAGCTCTGCTGCACTCTGCTTCTCCGAGCGTGGCCAGACCAGGGCACTTTACCCTAGACCCGTACATCATGTGCTCAGCTCACATCACATTGTGCCTCCCTTACACCCCGTGCGTTTCTCTCTCTCTCTTCCACCTCCTCTGTGTTTCCTCCCCCCCCCTGCCCTTGCTCGTCCACGGGCAGGTGGGCACGCCTGGCCGGTTAGTGGATCATCTGAGCAACACCAAGGGGTTCAATCTCCGCACTCTCAAGTACCTGGTGCGTTCTTGTCTTGCATCACACCACACCATACAAGCCTCTTCCGTGTGCAAGCCCTCTCTCTCTCTCTCTCTCTCTCTCTCTCTCTCTCTCTCTCTCTCTCTCTCTCTCTCTCTCTCTCTCTCTCTCGAATGGTCCTTGCATTTCTTTGGGGGGTGGTACAACGGAAGGTGCAAAACACACAAGCACAAGCTCAACAGAAAACCGGCATCCTAACTATTCCAAGTCCCCTACCTACTCTGCCCCCCCCCCCCTGTCCGACCCTACTGGTCGAACGGGGCCTCAATCAACTGGTGCAGCTGTCCCTCACTGAGAGGGATGATGGGTCCTCTAAAACCGAGCTCGTCCGCCGGCAAGGCCTCATTGGTCTTGGTGCGGAGGGCGTTGGCCTGTGCCCGCTGGAGGCACACGCTCCAACGCTGGCGGTACTCCGTCAGAAGCTTCGCTGCTTCGTAGGAGGTAGGGGCTGCGTTAAACCGCAGCTTTGCCGCCAGCTCCGCGCATTGCCGCAGGTAAGCCAGCACCCCCGGCGAGGGGTAGCCGTATGTTTCCACTGCGAGCGCGTGGAACCCCACCCACGTGTTCCGCCGTGCGTACTTCTCCTTTTTTGCCGCTGCCGCCCTAGCTGCCCAACCAGGAGCTCGGTTGCAGTTCTCGTCCTGGTATGACATCGGGTCCGTCACGGTCACGTCGCACATCCAAACCTCCCCGGTCAGTGGATGACGGATGGTGACATCCGCCTTTAGGTTTTCAACCAGTGAGTAGACATACGTCTCCTTATGAACCGTAAAACCCGCCTCAGCCCCGATATTTGCTATCTCATCCCGCAGAGCGTGATGGGTAGCGGTCCTCCCTTTCCCCTTCTCGCAGCGCATGAGGTGGCTGGGGAGGCGGTCGTCGGGGAAGGTGGTGCGGTAGCGGCAGTCACAGCGTCTAGGCACTGGGAGGGGGAGGCCTAGGCGGAAGGCAGCTGCAGTTGAGAGCTGGGAGGGGCCCATTCGGAGCGAGGGGATGAGCGGGATCGCCAGCAGCCAATCCCCCGCTCCTGGGCCTAGCACCGACTGCATCCGTTGCGCATGGCCTGAAAGGGGGTTGGGGCGCATCCGCCTTGCCTCGCGCATGGCCCTCAAGAAGCGGCGGGAGTGAACCGCCAGCGCTAGGCTCTGCTGTAGCTTCAGTCCCTTGGGGTCTGTCTTCCCGGCCTGGAGCACCTCGAGAGCCTCGGGTGGGAGAGCTGCCTCAGCCGCGGCGAGGCGTGCAGGCAGCGCGTGCGGGGAGCCGTGGGTAGGGTCCAGTAGGGGGAGGAGCGCGGCGACAACAGGGTGTAACGACTCCTCCAGGGAGTATAGAAGGTGGGCGGCGCTGATCACTGAAGCGAGGTAAGCGTAGCTGCCTTCAACGGCGGGGTCAGTGATGCCCAGGCCTCCCAGAGTCACGGGCAGGGCCGCCTGCCGCCAAATCCTCCGCCTCTCCCGGGCACTCCTCGGTCTCATGATGTGGGCCGAGTCCACGAAGGTGTGTAGGAGCTGCTCCCCCCAAGCTGACCATTCCGCTCCAGGGAGAGCTTCCAGGGGGGTGGTTCTGGCCAGAAAAGAGGCTCGGCGGCTGACACAGCGGGTGAGGAGGAGGAGGCTAAGCTGGGGGTCCATCTGGGCCAGCAGGGGGAGTGGGGATGCTGCTACTGCCAGTCTCTCTCTCACGGCGCCCGCGCACCCCCGGGGTGTGCCAACCGGGCTGCCGAGAATCTGCAGTCCCTCATCAGAGATAGTAATTCCCGGGGGCACTGCAGAGGGGTCGATTGGAGCGGCGGACCACGCCGCGCATTTGGCCGGGTTGTGTACCAGGCCGAGGGCGGCAAGTGCGGATGTGAGGTGGTCGAAAGCTGCTGTGCAGGCCGAGGCGTCGCCGAGCAGCGTGATGTCATCGGCGTACGCCAGCAGGACCACCTGAGGGTGTGCCGCCGCCGTGGCAATGAGGCACGGGTGGATGCTTGTCGCGAACAGGAGGGGGCCGAGCGGGTCCCCTTGGCGAACTCCTCTGGCGCTCTGCAGCGGGGCTGCGCCGAAGTCGTGGTCGAGGTAGAGCGAGGAGGGAGCCCCGTAGGATAGGCGGACGAGGGGGATCAGCTTCTTCAGCGCCTCGTTTCTCAGTCCTTCGAACACCGCTCTCCTTTCGACCGCGTTAAAAGCGTTCGCGAGGTCGATCTGCAAGGCCACTGCAGCAGGGTGCACTTCCAGGTACGTGCGAGCGGTGTGGATAGCCGCTTCGATCCCCCCTGCTACTGCCACGCCGAATTGAAGTGGGGCAAAGTGAGTACGGGCGGCTGGCGCGGTCAGGAAGAGGGCGGCCTTTGCTATAATCCGGAGGAGACACTCCCCCACCGCTATTGGCCGCGTCCCTCCTTGGGGTTTCGTAAAGGCTAGCAGGCGGGAGGCCGTGAGAAGATCCCCCGCGGCTGTTGGGAGTTTCCCTGCTAGAGCTGTGTTGGAGAGGGCGAGGAGGTGGGAGAGTACTTCGGCATTCCCTAGGGCTGCGTCGCGGATATGCTCGAAAGTGGTTCCTGAGGGGCCGGCCCCGACTCCGTTGGGGAGCTTGGCGAGGAGGCGCCTGAAGTGGCGGGCTTCGATAGTGGGTGGGTCTTCAGCCGAGGCGGTGTGGAGCCAGTCAGGGAAAAGTTGGCTGGCAGGTGGATGTCTCGTCGCGAGGGCTTCCAGCACTTCAGGTGAGGCAGGTGACACAGGGGTGGCCTGGAGGGATTGGAGTGATTTTGACAGGTTACCCCGTTTTGCCAGACCTTCCGCCCGTGCCAGTATTCCAGTTGTGTCGAGTGAGTGGCGAGGCTGCGGAGGCAAGGAAATCGCCTGGACAGCTTCTTCGTATAGGTCCACCCAGAGCCCTTGGCGAAATCGCAGGAGCCGATTCATCATCGCGCTCCAGTCAGGTTTACGGGCTGACGAGGTGCGAAGGAGTATGCGCGGGAGAAAGGTCAGTAGTTTCCATCCTGGCGCAGACTCGGGATTGGCCGCCAGGTGGAGTAACGGCGTCAACATACAGATCGCGAAGGAGTCGCGAAGGTCTTTGGGGGGGTGGCGAGCGAGAGGAGGTTGGCGACTGTCTCTCTCTCTCTCTCTCTCTCTCTCTCTCTCTCTCTCTCTCTCTCTCTCTCTCTCTCTCTCTCTCTCTCTCTCTCTCTCTCTCTCTCTCTACCACACACCTCTTCCTCTCATGCGCGCGGGTCCTACATGGAGTGGAGCGGGCGAGCCTCGCCCTCACCATAACACTGCCTCTGCCCACACAGCACACCGTCTGAATCTCAATTCAACTCACATCTCAACCCGTGTTACCATATGATTTCTCCCCCCCCCCCCCCCCTCCCATGCGCACATATGCTAGTCGAGGCGGATCAGCTGCTGAATTCCGAGTTTGAGGCGGAGATCGATGAAATTCCCAGTGTGGTGCCCAAGGAAGAAGCCCGTTTACAAGCAGACTCTACTCTACTCCCCGTCCCTCTCCCCTTTTTCTCTCTCCCTGCGTCCCCCTCCCCGCTCCTCTCTTCGCACGGGTGTTGGACGAGGCGGACCGGCTGCTGAACCTGGAGTTTGAGGCGGAGATAGACGAGATTCTCAAGGTGGTGCCCAAGGAGACGCTTAGTAGGCGCCTTATAACTCCTCCCCCTTTCCCTCCACACCCCCTGCTTCCATGCTTCTTTCAGGTGCTGGACGAGGCGGACCGGCTGCTGAACCTGGAGTTTGAGGCGGAGATAGACGAGATCCTCAAGGTGGTGCCCAAGGAGCGGCGCACGCTGCTCTTCTCCGCCACCATGACCAGCAAGGTCGCCAAGCTGCAACGTGCCTGCCTCAAGGACCCCGTCAAGGTGCGCTGCCATGCTGGTCTGGGTGTGGTCTGGGCTGGGCTGGGCTGGGCTGTGGTGTGGTGTGGTGTGGAGTCATTTCGTCTGACGCCATGGTGATTTCCTGTTTTTTCCTTCCTCTTTCTCTTCCTCTTCCTCTTCCTCTTCCTCTTCCTGCTCCTTTCCACCTTGTTTTCCAAGATAACCATCGAGCCCTAATCGTCTACTCTCCACTCACGTTGCTCTTGCGTGACATGGCATGGCATGGCACGCCATTGTATCAGGTGGAGGTGTCATCCAAGTATTCCACAGTGGACACGCTACGCCAGCAGTACCTCTTCGTGCCCGCCAAGCACAAGGTCCGTTATCTTATCTTATCTTATCTTATCTTATCACCGCACCATCGCTCAACCCAAACCGAACCGAAGCTTTGAGCCCTGAGCATCTTCTTCTGGACCTCTGGTTCCTGGGGTGGGTGGTTACCTGCTCTCGTGCATGCCTCCTTGAACTCTGGCTGCTCCTCATCTCTCTTCCCTTCCTCCCTCCTTTGCTCTCGCTTCCCCCTCTCCTGCAATGTCATCTCGCCCCCTGGCTCCCTCCCTCCACTCTTGTAGCAGTCCATCTCGTTCCCTTCTTCTCAATCTCCCGCCTCCCCGGTCCTCCTTTACCCGCCACCCCACCAGGACTGCTACGTGGTGTATGTGTAGAACGAGCTAGCGGGCAGCACCGCTTTTCATAACAGTCCATCTCGCTCCCTCGCTCTCCACTGTCCCTTCCCACTACTCTTTGCCCCCCTCTCCTCTCTACCCGCCACCCCACCAGGACTGCTACCTGGTGTATGTGTTGAACGAGCTAGCGGGCAGCACCGCTATGGTCTTCACACGCACATGTGATGCCACACGTCGCGTCGCCCTGCTCCTCCGCAACCTTGGGTTCCCCGCCATTCCCATCAGCGGCCAGATGAGCCAGGTGAAAGCTCTCTCCTCTTACCCATCTCCTACCCTGCTCACTCTCTGTTCTGCTCTCCAGCTTTCCTTCCCAAACTCGAAACTCCATTACTTCCCTTCCACATCTCACTTTCCACTTCCTTTCTCCCTCTTTCTCCCTCCCTTCGTCTCGCCCCTATGTCCCCCACCCTCTCGCCTGCTCCCATGCACCAGCCGAAGCGGCTGGGGGCGTTGAACAAGTTCAAGAGCGGCGACAGGAGCATCCTGATCTGCACAGACGTGGCCAGTAGAGGGCTTGACATCCCCTCTGTCGACATGGTTGTCAACTACGACATCCCCACCAACTCCAAGGTGCCTGCTCGCCCGCCTGCTTTTTGAAGCGCCAACTCCAAAGTGCCTGCCTGCCTGTCTGCCTGCCTTCCTGCCAACCCGTTCGCCCTCCCGCCTGCCCTCCCGCTTGCCTGCTTGACCGCGCACCCGCCTGCCTGCCCGGAAGCTGGATCTCCCCTTCGTTTGTCCATCTGTCTGTCCGATCTGTCTCCCCTAGTTTATCCACTCACCCCCTTCCCCCCCTCAACCTCCACCCACCCTTGCTTCACCTGCCCCTCATCGAACCGCATGACCCCAACAGGACTACATTCACAGGGTGGGGCGGACAGCGAGAGCGGGGCGGTCGGGGCGGGCCATCACCATAGTCACACAGTACGACGTGGAGCTCTTTCAACGCATCGAGCAGCTCATAGGTGCGTGCGTGTGTGTGTGTGTTTTTGAGACGCCTAAAAAGGGCAGGGCGGTCGGGGCAAGCCCTCTTCTTAGTCACACACACAGTGGCGGAACGGTGCGTGGAACTCTTTCAGCGCATCGAGCAGCTCATAGGTGCGTGCGTGAGCGTGCGTGTGCATGTGCGTGTGCGTGCATGCAATGGTGGAGGTGTTGAGACGTCTCAAAGCTTGTCTGTCAGTACGACGTGGAGCTCTTTCAACGCATTGAGCAGCTCATAGGTGCGTGCAACCGTGCGACCCAGCAAGCTTTTGTTGTGTGCCTCGTTGCCTCGGTGATCCTCAGCTGCCCCATCTTCACCTAAGCCATCTTCTTTGCTCAACACATAAGCCAGTTGGTTTTGTCTCCATGTTGGCACTAACAATCTCCTTTCTGCGAAGGTTGTAGAAAAATATTTTGTTCTGTAATGTTTTCCCATGTGCTCGGTGGGCATGGTGGTGTGTGGCTGGGCGTGTGCATGCAGGCAAAAAGATGGAGGGGTTTCCAGCAGAGGCAGAAGAGGCTCTGGTGCTATTGGAGAGAGTCAGTGAGGCTCAGAGGCTTGCTAACATGGTGAGCTGGAGGGGGGGGGCGGGAGTGGTGGTTTTGAGAGAATGCCTGATTTGTTTATCTAGTTCTGATGTGAGCTGTATATGCATGAGCAAGCAGGGGTGTGAGGGGGTGAGAGAAAGAGGGAGCAGCACGTGTGGCATTTGCCCAGCGTGGTTCTTTCTAACCCCTGCCTCCTTCCCTGCCCTCCCCCGCCAGACCATACGGGACAAGGATGCCAACAGGAAGGGCGGCAGGAGACGGACGAGAGATGACGATGAGGAAGGGGGAGGGGGCGGCGGCAGCATGATGAGACAGCTGGGGATAGGTGGCAGAGGTAGGGGGCGGGGAGGGGGCAGAGGAGGGGGTGGGCGTGGCGGCGGTGGTAAGCGGATGAAGAGGTGATGTTGGGTTGAAGGAAAAAACCTTGGGTATGGTCCTCTTGTGTGTATTTAGATCATGTTAGTTTCAGCGCTGGCTCTATTGACAACTACTCTATTACCAAAAAAGCAAAAATTATTGCCAGCACAGCACTTACTGGAATGCATTAGGAATCTCTTTGCATACTACCCACTAGCTCTGTGGCATCAGCTGCCAGCACTGCCAACCAAAATCACCACTAGCTGTGCCAGAATTTTGTTGGTGAAAGGAAATTATTACTAGGTTGTGGAGCGTGGTTAGCTCTCAACAGTACAGAAAGCCAAGCGTGGAAGTATCTTCAGCAGGTAAACGTGGAAGCACCATGCAATGCAAATTGCAATCCTTTGCATCGCCTCTACCAGCCAACCACGCCATTGCAAAGCCTCTACCTCTAGAGGAAGCGCGAAGCGCAAGCTTTTAGTCGTGTAATCAATACTGCGGGGACGGTTGCTCGCTGCAACCATCTAATTCCTAGGGGACATACGGTAGAACTCTATTCGTCCGCTGATGGTACAAGACGTCTCTAACCGACAATCACAGCCCTTCGGGCGAGCGACTCATGAATCACGTTATGCCACGCGTGCCAGAAGATGAACCTCTTCTCATCCGAGCAGTTGGGTGATTCCCGCCTTTTGTTCCGCCGTCAGCTTCGAGGGGAACTTCACGTCAAATCGAATCTTGAGATTGCCCTTTCTACCGTTCTCCTTCACCGGCATTCCCTCCTTGGGTATCACCTTCTCATACCCCGGGGTAATCACGTCGTTCAGAATCACTACCAGCGTACGCCCGTCTAGGGTTTTCAGCTCCAGGCGAAAATCCGCGAGCGCCTGAACCAGAGTAATCTTCTGCGTGCACACGAGATCGTGGCCATCCCTTTTGTAGACATCGTGCGGCTTCTCGTCGACCACGAACACGATGTCCGCCGCGTTGCCCTTCCCCGGGAATGTAATTCGCGTGCCTTTCTTCCACCCAGGCTTCACGCTTATCGTCACGATCTCGTCCGCCGGCGTCACTTTCCTGGCATCGGCAGGTGGGGCAACAGCACGATACACGTCAGCACCCGCTATTTACTCTTGCGTCGACTTGATATCGCGGAGTTGCCTCACGTTAGGACACGCTAGCGAGACAACTCAAAGCGGCGAAAACGATTGTGGATAGAGAACATGAGAGAGAGAATGAGAGAAAAGGTACGCTGCTGAGGACGAGAACAAGAGAAAAAGCAAGAACGAGGACCATCACAGTATCAGAGTAATGATCTTCTCCCACCTCTCCAACCCGCTTGTCAACCCGCACTCACCCCGTGGCGTCGATGAAATTGCGCGAGATTTTCATTTTCCTCGTGGAGCCCGAGTAGAGCTCTTCGAGGCTGCACAGCAGCCGGTTCTCCACCACCGCTTTCTTCGGCCCGGGCGACGGCAGGTCCGACGTGTGTCCTTCTATTTGCGGCCCGTGGTCCGTGGGCGGGGTCGGCACGTGCGGGCTGACTTTGGGGCTTCGATACGGCGTCCCGGCCGTGTCAGGGCCTGCGGCGAACGGGCTGTTGCCAAACACCTCCGCGAATACCTCTTCCGCCTTTCGCGGCTTGAATCTAGGATGCTCCGGCTTGTTGGCTCCTGGGTGCGACACGTGCGACGGGAACGACGTGTGCGGCGTGCCTTGCGGCGTGGGATGCGGTTGTGGAGGGGGAGTGGCTTGCGGCGGAGGGTGAGCCTGAGGGGGAGCATGGCTTTGGCTTGTGTGGTCCGGCTGCTGCTTCTGATGGGTTTGATCACTCTGCTGCTGCTGCCTCTGCGGATGTGCGTGCGACTGATTGTGCGCGTGGCCTGGGGGAGGGGTGTGTGAATGTGCTTGCGCCGGGTGACCTTGCGTAGGCGGCGCAGGTGGCGGCGGCCCCTTCAGTCCCTCCTCGCCGTCTTTATCGTAGACTGCTCGCTTGTCAGCATCACTTAGAACCTGGAAAATGAGGTAGAAACGGTCCGTAAGGCTCAATAAAAAATATATAACAAAGTTCAGTCTGAGTACATGTATGGATTTTGTGAAGGTCGAAATTGACGGACTGAAAGGGGTACCTCGTATGCTTCGGTGATCTCCTTGAACTTCGCCTCTGCTTCTTTCTTATTCGCGGGATTCTTGTCCGGGTGCCATCGCATCGCTAACCTTCTATACGACTTTTTCAACTCTTCCTCAGAAGCTCCTTTAGGCAGATTAAGGACGTCATAGTAGTCGACACCCATGACCCTAGAAATGCTTTCCTAGTCTAGTATACTAATTAGTTGACGACGCTAAGCTACACTAGCCGTGCACAGCACACGCTACCGCTTTTGGCACAAGACGCGCCATCCGCCTACTAGTTGCCGTGAAGGACGCTAGAGAGTAGCAAGGCGAAACGTGAATACGAAAAGCCCTGGAAAGTAAACGAGAAGATCAGATTGAAAGGAAACACGGAGGGAGCACGACGAAAATGGTGAGGTTGTGGGTGGGTTGCGAGTGAATGCGTGGGGGAGGTGAGGTCAGGCGGAATGAGCGTGAAGAGAGGGGAGGGACGGGTCACGCTCGAGTTCTGGACTTACGGGTATGGTCGAGGCAGAAATTGGGGGAAGGGGGGGAAACAACGGGGAGGGGAGAAAACTGAATGATGGCAGAAAGGCGGGGGCGGGGGGGAAAGATTTGCGTGGAATGAGGGGGGCAGGGGGGCTCTAGAAGGGGTGGCGGGCAGCAGTAGAGTTCATTTGTGATTGAGGGCGGGGGAGGGGGAGGAGGTATGATAGATTCAGAACGGATTGATTTTGAGGGAGTGGTGGTTCGACGGGGTTGGATTGACCGAAGCGACGGGTTGCTCGCTTGGACTGTTCGCCGCGCGATCCGTGTGGGCTGGCGACCATTTCTCCTTCCCTCCCTCGCGATCGCCTTTGCCAGAAACGCGCCACGGCGACCCCTGAATGATGCAGGCCGAAATGCCAGACGAATGGGGAGTCAGCAGCAGGTCGTCTGGAAAAGTCCGACCCCGTTAGAGTCACTCATGGATGGTGTTCGCCATTGGGATGGGACAATAGTGACAGATGTTTCAACCAAGCAATGCCGAATCGCGACGCTCAATCGGGGTTTCGTCACGTCCAGGGGAAGGGCTCACTCAACGCGCACGAGCCTGACCCCTATTGGGCCAACAACGTGGCTTTGGTAATGGGAGTCAGCCACTCCCAAGAGCCATCAGAGAGCGGTAAAAAAGATCGCGTCGACTTGAGAATTATCCGAACCTAAACTTCAAACAGGCTCGTTCAACCAAGCAGTGTGGCTCGGCTATTGGCTGACTTGTTCTTGGTAGTCGCCAGCATTTCAAACCAAACCTACTCAGCTTTGATAAATGTCTGGGTCCATGCCTAACGCTGAGGTGGTGGTATGGCCTGGCCTGGCCCAAGGTATCCTCCACGTCGTTTCAGCAGTCACACCAAGCCCGCAAATGATTTATTTTGTCCGGACTCTCCACTCAGTTCCAGCGCGACCCCGGTACTGGATTTCGCTAGCGGTTACCATCTCCGCAAGTACGAAAAACACCCAAGCACAAGTTCGACAATTGTTCCCGAACGTGAATCTCTCGTTATGAGATATGTAAGCTCGAAATTGTTTGTAGAAACTCCTTGTGATATGTTGGAGAGGTCACAGCCGAAAACGCTTCAATCGAGGAAATCTCGAATCTTCGCCCAACAGCATCTCCCTCCATCGTGGAATTTTCACCCTAGCTGACGTCACAAATGGACGTCAAAACAGCTCGCAACCCCATTACCAAATTCCACTCGCATCGCATCACAACCTGGTTGACATACACTACTAGCAGAGCAAATCCTTATGCCTGCAGTTCAGCGCCCTCGTCGACAGTATCCTGCCAACCGATCTTACCGCTGCTCGTGCTCCGTGCTCGCATTATCCGCGGTTCTCCTCGCCGCCTTATTTCTGATGCTTGCCCCATCTATCTTTCTTTTGCCTCGAGTGCTCCGCCCTTCCAGCATCCCATTCCTCTCCACAGCCCGTCTCCAACAACCGCCGTCTAAGCCCCTTAACACCACCGCTTCCCGATTAGCTCACCTCTCCTCGAATTCCATGGCTACCACCTCCGTTGCCACCTCAGCCGCGTCTGACGGCGCCGGAGCGAGTGTAGTAAGCGCAGCAGCGGAAGTCGAGATCAAGCAGCCGCGGAAGCCGCTGCGCAAGCTGCTGTCGAAAGAGCAGGCGGAGGGCGACGGCGCGCGGGTGCGGCGGAGCATCGGGCGGCCCGAGATGCGATCCCTGGATCCCTTTCTCATGCTCGACGAGTTCAAAGGTAGGGATGTGCCGCCCTTTCACAAGCCTGGGGTTTCACACGCCTGCTGGCTCCACCTGTGGCTCATCAACCTTGGGGTTCTGCGCTTCGGTGTTCTCCCCACTCCTCTCCTCAATCCCCATACCCCTCCCCACCCCCCACTGCTTCGTGGGCCTTTCCTCGTTTTCTCAACAGCTGTCATTCAATTGTCATTGCCTCGCTCTCCCCGCATCATCCCTCTTCACTCTCCTCGTTCCGATTGTGATGCGGCTTTCCCTTGCCTCTCCGTCATCTCTCCCGTTGCAGTTTCCGCGCCTGCAGGATTCCCCGACCACCCTCACCGCGGTAGGATGCCACACGTCATGCTCACAACTGACGTAGCTCCATCTTAGCTTAAAGCTGTACATTCATGTGACCATGTTTGGCTTGTTGCGACTGATTTCGCAAGTCCGGCCCTTTCTAACCTGCCAGCTCCGCAAACCGCCATGGGAATCCGCGCCTCACATTCTTCCCTCCTTTCTCCGAACTCCTTTCTCTCTCGCTGCTGCAGGATTCGAGACGGTCACATACATGATAGAGGTATGGGTGCACATTCAGCTGTTTTTCATTGGCTCCTCGTTCCAATGTAGACTCTTCCTCTTGCTCCATGTGTTTTCCGTCCCACCCACCATCCACATGGCACTTCTTCCCTGACTGCAATTTTTTCGCTGAGATCCATGCCTCTGCCCCTCCCCCCTTCCCCCTCCGCCCTATTTCCCCACTCCTGCACTCTACCCTTCCCTTACTCGCGTTCTCGTCCCCCCTACGCCTTCTCCTCCTCTCCTACGTCGCCCTCCCCTGACCCTGCTCTGCGTGCAGGGCGCGTTCGCACACGAGGACTTCAACGGGCACAAGGGCATCATTGGCCCGGGCGACCTGCAGTGGATGACAGCGGGGCGAGGCGTGGTGCACGCGGAAATGCCTGCCACCAAGGGGCGCTGCCATGGGCTGCAGCTCTGGGTCAACCTGGCCTCCAAGGATAAAATGTGAGGCTTTCCCTTCCTGTGTCATGACTGATGCTTCTGTTTCTGTTTCTGTGCTGCCGAACTCGAAGGAGAGTGTGCGTGCTTTGTTTCAACACCTATTGGCTGCGCACCACGCTCTTCCTATGAGTGTAAGCAACAATAAGGTTTGGCTTTGGACTGTTTCCGTTACCCATTTATTGGCAGGGTACCTTCCAACTATCAGGAGCTGAAGGACACAGACGTTCCCAAGGTGGAGCGCGATGGGGTTCAAGTGGCAGTGATTGCAGGGACGTCGCTTGGCATTACATCTCCCGTCTACACTCTCACGCCCACCATGTACCTCTCCTTCTGCCTTCAGCCCAACGCCCACCTGCGCCAGGCCATTCCGGTGGGGTGGAACGCATTTATCTACACTCTTTCTGGCAAAGCTAGCATTGGAGATTCTGGATCTGCTGCTATTGGCCCTCATCACACGGTTGAGCTTGGTCCTGGTGATGGGGTGGAGGTGTGGAATAAGGGCTCGGAGGAGTGCCGATTTGTGCTGATTGGTGGTAAGCCGATTGGGGAGCCAGTGGCGCAATATGGGCCGTTTGTTATGAACACGGAGGAGGAGCTGAGGAAGACGTTTTTCGACTATCAGATGGGTATGAACGGCTTTGAAAAGGCCAGCTCCTGGAGTAGCAGCATCAAAGATGGTTTTCCGGGTATAGTGTGAGCTTGGTGTAAACATTCTTGCTACTACCGTATTATACATGTCTACAAAATTGAGATTTTACCACGCCGCACTGTGCACGTGGTTCTGTAGTTTTCAGGGTTCGGCTTGTAGAGCACCACAAAACTGCCCGCGGTTCGATCTCCAATTTCCGTGTGAGCCCCGTCGTGCCCACAATCCAACGTCACAGATCAAATCGCGTCACTTTTCTGGTGGGGGATAAGGGCTGCTTCTTGAATATGCTCGAACCATCCATGCATCTCTTTTCGGAACTTCCTCCTCTCCTCACTCTTCTCGCTCTTCAGTTCAGTCACTTCAGCGATAAATCGCATCAGCCATCAAGCATGGCATGCACCGTCATCAGCTTGTGCATGCGTTGCCCCCTCCACCACGAAAACGCATATAGGTCTCACCGGCCGCATTTACTTCATACACAGCGCAAGTAGCTCTACGCGTTCTCTTCACCGTACAAGGTTTCCGCGCTTTCACCGTGCTCAACCGTTGTTGTGCTTTTACTCTCCTGTGTCGAGTTTCCCTGCGTCTACTGGTTTTTCCCATAGGTTTATCCCGCTGTCCTTAACTTCTATATAGCAACTAAAACTTATTGCTACAGACGGGTGCGAGCGAATGAAAGCGCCGGTACAGACGGATGTATATGAGCGCTCGTCCCCGGCATGGGGCACCGTTCATGGATGCCGCGGTGCGAGCCTGAAGCGCGATGGGTGGCACGACCCGCTGGACACGCGCCACGAGTCAAAACGACAGCGACTGGATAACGCTCGGTGTTTCCCTCACTTTTACGCGGCTACAGGCTCGGTGGCTGACAGCTTAGCTATTTCGGGCGTTGCCAATCCCTTCGCTTCACGATGTAGCGGCGACGACGGCGGCTGCGGCGGCGGCAGCTTTCGAGAGGAGCTACCGGAGCAGCCGAAATGCGAAAGCTTCCCGCGTGCGACGCGCGGTGCGACAAGCGGTGTGACGGGGAAGCGGAACCTTGCGAAAATCGATAACAATTTGGATTCGATTGGGGGAATGGTGGTGGAGACGGAAGGGCGCAAGAAGAGGCGAGCGGATGGCACGTACGGCGAGGGGGAGGGTACGGCGGGCGGAAGACAGAAGGGAACGGGAGCGGGGAGCCGTGGGGGATGTTCTAGATTGAAACGCACGAGCGATGCTTGCGCCGATGCGCCTTACGGATCCTTTTTTGGCGGGGTAACGACGGGTAAGATGGCTAGAAGAGACGGCGAGCGTGACGTGGAGAGAAGGGCGAGGAGGAGCGGCGCATTGGATGAAGCGCACGTTGCGCAATCAGCGCAAGACGCTGGTGATAGTGACGGTAACGATGATGGTGCTGCTGTTGCTGATGCGTCTGAAGAGGCGTCTCGTCTGTTCAGTGACTTCAACTATTGGAGGCTCCCTTATGGGGGCTCCGCCTTTGGCGTGGTAGATAGCGTTGTAGATAGTGCGCCCATGGAGGCAGATGGCGGAGGCTCGAGCAGAAGCATGCCGATGGTGAGCGATAATGAAGGAGTGCGTGGGGAGTGGTTCTCTGCTGGGGACAGAATGAAGCGGACAGCGGGAAGGGAGGGCGGAGAGGATTGGTGCATGGAAAAGAGAAAGAGGCAGCGGTGGTTGTAGCTAACAGTACTGATGGGACAATGCTCACTCTTTGGTCAATGGGTTTGGGCTCTTGTTCAAATGCATGTCTATGGTACTCTGACATATTGGTCTCTGTGTGTGTGTGGTTACCAGGAGCCAGCCTTGTCCTAGTTTGGTTTTGGCTGGAATCATGTGACTGCCCACAATCATAGAGAATCTAATGAACGTCGTGCTTCATCCCAGAGAGTATGTGTTCTTTGGCAAGGCCTTGCTGTAGGATGCTGGTGACGATCGGTGTAATTGGATTCGGTGCAGTCTGGTAATTGCTGTGAACGGAAACAGAACCTTCCAATCTGTGGCTGAGCCAAGTTGTGCATGTTCAGTGTCAGGAATCTGGAGATATTTTAACAGGGGCCATCTTATGGTGAATCAAGTAGCATGCACGTATGCATGTGATTTGTTCTCCCTGAGCACAAGCCCCTGACTGAACTGTACTGTAGCAGAGTGCCTTGCCCATCATTCCAGTAAGCAGTCAGTCAGTCAGTCAGTTTGTGCGTGGATGATTATTTCCTGTAACAGAATCTAATGAACTGACCGGCAATTCCTGCTGTTAGTGCACTCTCTCCTGTCAGTGGTCGAGTTCCTGCTACCGTATCAGAGTGTCCCTGCTTCAGTGGTTGGGTCCCTGCTGTTAGTGTTCCTGCCTTGGCTTGCCATACCGTAGTTCCCTGCTGTGACTGCACTAACCTCTCCTCTCTTGTATCAGTGGTTGGGTTTTGCTATCAGATCTTCTATGGCTTTTCATGCCCCCCTGCTATTAGTGCAATCCTGTGTTAGCGGGTGGGTGGCTTCCTGCAGATATCCCTGCTGCGCAAGATTATTCCCTGCTGTAAGAGCACTCCCCTGTGTTAGCACCTGACTTTCAGCTTTTGGAGTTTCCCTGCTTTCAGTGAGTTCCTTTCCTGTCCTGCCAGCCCCACTCCCTTGTTCTGTGCCTGGCATACCCCCTACTGCACCCACCAACGATTTCCGTTCCTATACCATTCCCCACCCCGTACCTCTCACCTTACCCACTTCAATATACCTGGTACCATTCCCCAAAGTTGTTCCTGCCCTACTGAAAGTCCCAAGCATCATGGCCTGGCTAGAGTTTCGCCTACACATCATATGCTAGTTACGGTAGCCTAAGCCTGTCGGCCCCTTGTCTTTTTTTTAACAAATACGCCATCCTTGGTCATGCTTCTTCAAACTTCACTGCCATCCCTGCCTGTACACAAGGCAGGGGGCATGCAAGCGGGAGGGGAGGGAGGAGCACAGGTGGGCATGGCAGGGTGCATGAACACGCTGGCCCACCACCCACACCTCCTTGCTGCACCTCCACTGCTTCACCACCAACTGCTTCTGCTGCTCCACCAATGGTGCACCGGAAACAGAAAGGGCCTGAGATGTAAGTGAACTTCACGACTCTCTGAAGGAAAGAGGGTGTTGACTCAAATGAGGGAGACGGCGTTGACTTTCAAGAAAGAGCAGGTGTTGACTGACAGGAAGGAGAGGGCTTTGACTCACAGACAGGAGCGGACGGGGCGTTGACTCACAAAGAGGAGAGGGCGTTGACTCACAGAAAGGAGCGGACATTGACTCACAGGAGGGATCGGGAGTTGAATCACAGGAAGGAGAGGGCGTTTACTCAAAGGAATGAGAGGGAATCACTCACAAGAAGGTGGTAAGCTTGTCGCACACGAAAGAGAGGTCGCTGACCAACAGGAAAGAGAGGGCGTTGACTCACATGAGCAGAAGGAGAGGGTCAGCCCCACGAGAAGTCACGTAGCTGGTACCTGAAGAACCGCCTAGCTGCTGCCCCCCACGCCCGTATTCTCTCCCCTACTGCAGCGGCTCCCCCCGCTTCTGCTGGAGCCCCTGCTGCTGCTGCCTCCTCCGCTGCATCATGAGTGTGTGATGTGAATGGGTGCCGGATGGAGGGGCCTGCACAAAAGCGAGGAGCAACAGAAGAAATCGGTGAGTTGCCAAACTGGCCCAATCACAGATAGATCAAGGTTGAAAGAGCACAATCATGGAGACGTATGAAGCAGGAAAGGAGCTTGAGAGGGCGCATCCTTGGACGCCAGGTAAGGATAGGGCATACCTTGAAAGGGCACGACCAGACCAGCCCCATACCCTCCCCCGCAGCAGCGATCCTCCTCCGCTGCAGTGCTGCATCCCTCCCATTTCCAATAAACCTGCATGGTCACAGGGGAGGGGTGTGGGGGAGCATCGGTAAACATACAGCTTATGTGAACGTGCAGTATCAGTGAACCTGAGGGAGGCGGCTGTAAGGCCTAGGGAGGGATGAACCGGCCTTCACCCATGCAACATCAAAGGCAAACCACAGAAGCACATGAGAAAAAGGCTGTGTTAAAGTACCGAGCAGTGAGCAGCAGACGAGAGCGAGCATAGAGGAGAAGGCAAGGCAGTTGAGAGACCACCGATGGCTGCTTTAGCATACCGCCTCATGTTCTCTGCCGCTTGTGGCTCCCCGTGCTGTTGCTGCCGCTCTTGCTGCTCCTCAGTGTGCCCCTCCGCTTCGCCTGCTGCATCACGAGTGGGCTGCAAGGGGGCAGAACAGAGGGAAGGCTGGCAGGCGAGAGAGTGCAGGAACAGCACGGGGAGAGAGCGCAGGCCTTGAAACAGGCAAGGGCAAATAAGAGGCATAAGCGTAAAAGGGCATTCACAGACAAAAGGTGAGAGAAGCAGGAAAGAGCAAACAAAAGTATATGAAAGCAAAAGCGAAATCAAGGAGCACATGGCAGCAGGGCAGGGGAGGAGTTGGGAGGAGTGTGGGAGGCGAAGGACATGCGGCGATGGAAGGCCATGGCAGTTTGGCGGCGAGCGAGCGTGTGACGGAAGAATGCGGTACAAAGGTGGGCGATGATAACAACGAAGCAGAAGCGGTAAGGATGGCACGGGCGAAGGGAGAGGGAACTTAGCCGTATGGGGGTGCGTGCAGGACAGTGGCGTCAGGCTTCCAGGAGGCTCGCACACCGCTGTGACTGCCTGCCGTGCGTCATCCCACCGCCGTCCCTCCCCGCACCACGCTGCCATAGCACCGGACAAGAGGGATGGAGCAATGGAGGGCTAGAGAACCCAAGTAGTCAGTAGAAGCATCAAGGCAGTGAAATGCATGCAAGGAGGCAGAGATAACAAGAATGGATGAGCAACGGAAATAAAAGCTGAAGACAGAAAGCATGTGGCACGGTGAAGCAGTGAAAGGGGAGGCGATGGTAGCACACAGCACTAGGGCGCCGAGCTAGCAGGCAAATTAAGAAGGGACGCAGCATGATCATGAATGCATTATACTCTAACCCCCTACGACTCTAGTATGAGCTCAAGCCGCCCCAGTGCCATGCGCTACCATCGCCAAACGCCGCTCATCTCTCACTCAACTTTTGATCGCTCCCATTCGAAAGTGGGCTCATTTGTTTCGAGCACGTGGTGACGGAAGAATGCGGTACAAAAGTGGGCAATGATAAACACGAAGCAGAAGCGGTAAGAATGGCAAGGGCGAAGGGGCAGTGAACTTAGCCGTATAGGGGTGCTTGCAGGACGGTGGCGTGAGGCTTCCAGGAGGCTCGCATGCCGCTGTGACTGCCTGCCATGCGTCATCCGCCCTCCCTCCCTGCACCACGCTGCCATAGCACCGGACAAAAGGGATGGAGCAAAGCAGGGCAAGAGAACCCAAGTAGTCAGTAGAAGCATGAAAACAGTAAAATGCATGCAAGGAGGCAGAGATAACAAGAACGAATGAGCAACGGAAATAAAAGCTGAAGACAGTGGCACGGTGAAGCAGTGAAAGGGGAGGCGATGGTAGCACACAGCACTAGGGCGCCGAGCTAGCAGGCAAATTAGGAAGGGACGCAGCATGATCATGAATGCATTCTACTCTAACCCCCTACGACTCTAGTATGAGCTCAAGCCGCCCCAGTGCCATGCACTACCATCGCCAAACGCCGCTCATCTCTCACTCAACTTTTGATCGCTCCCATTAGAAAATGGGCTCATTTGTTTCGAGCAGGCGGTGACGGAAGAATGCGGTACACAAGTGGGCCCTGATAAACAAGAAGCAGAAGCGGTAAGGATGGCAAGGACGAAGGGAGAGGGAACTTAGCCGTATGGGGGTGCTTGCAGGACAGTGGCGTGAGGCTTCCAGGAGGCTCGCACTCCGCTGTGACTGCCTGCTGTGCGTCATCCCACCGCCCTCCCTCCCCGCACCACGCTGCCATAGCACCATACGAGAGGGGTGGAGCAAAATAACCCAAGTAGTCAGTAGAAGCATGAAAGCAGTATAATGCATGCAAGGAGGCAGAGATAACAAGAACGAATGAGCAACGGAAATAAAAGCTGAAGACAGAAAGCATGTGGCACGGTGAAGCAGTGAAAGGGGAGGCGATGGTAGCACACAGCACTAGGGCGCCGAGCTAGCAGGCAAATTAGGAAGAGACGCAGCATGATTATGAATGCATTCTACTCTAACCTCCCAGCAGCAGCAGCAGCAGCGCCGTGAGGGAGTGGCGTGGTCAGCAGGGCATGCAGGACTCAGGCCGTGCGTCATCCTACTGCCCTCCCTCCGCTCTGACCCTGGGACAAGGAAATGGGTTGGAGAGAGAAGGCAGAGAGGAAGGGAGTAAAGAATCTGGTCCAGTAGGAGCAAGCATTGAAAGGAAGGCAGAAACAATGATGAAAACGAGAATTCCTTTAGCTAAAAATGCAGAAGAAGCAAGCAAGCTGAACAACACGAAAGGCAATGGTAGCGCAAGGCACCGGGGCAGCGAGCTAGCATGCGAGGGTGGACTGGGGTAAGAGAGAGACGCGAGCATGTGTATGAGTGCATTCTATTCTAGCCCCCTACAACTCTAGTCTAGTGTGAGCTCAAGCCGCCCCGGTGCCATGTGCTACCATCGCCATGCGGAACTGACGTTTTGATTTCGAGCACGCGCCGAGAAAGCAAAGCGACAAGAAAATGAACCAAAGACAGAAAGCGATAAGGATGGCAAGGGGGTGAATAGAGGGGCTATGAGGGTACTTAGCAGCGGTACGATGGGTTGAGCGACGGAAGCAGCAGCAGCTGTTGCCAGCAGCAGAGTGACTCCCATCATCAACAGCACACCCAGCAGCAGCCCTCCCAGCAGCAGCAGCACAGCGTTCGGAGGTTCCTCATCAGCGGTCGAAGCTGCATGCACGCGTCTCGTCCTCCTCGCTGGCCGCGCTGTGTCGCTCCCTCTCTCTCCTTCACCCAAAGGGCGCAGGGCGGGAGAGCACGCACGCATGGAGGAAGAAATCATGGGGGTTGCCGCCAGCACCTCCGCCTCCTCGCCTCGCGTGCTGCCAGCAGCCTTGCCCAAAGCGCTCCGCTTGCAATGTCTGTCCGCCTCGTCCGCCCAAGCGGGTGGTCAGCAGGGCAGTAGCAGGCAGCCAGATGCCAGTGGTTGTCAGTCATGCGTCATCCCGCCCAAATGCTCTCCCGTTGCATGCGATCCCGTTGAGTGAGCTGTAATCAGCAGCGCGGGCAGCAGCCGCTGTGCCTGCAGTGCGTCATCCCACTGCCGCCCTGCATGAGGAACAACAAGAAAGAGAGAGCACATAGAGCGACAAATAGAGAGTGAATCTACGGACGGTGAACAAAAAAGGAACAAGCAAGTCACGGCAAAAATGAATGCAGGAAACAGACAAAGGTAAAGGGCATGACTTGGAATGTCAGCGTGTACAGCAAAAAACGAGTGGTTTGGGACGTGGTGGGATGGGGTAGGCGCATGGCGACGGTGGCCCACAGCACAGCAGCAAGCTGAGCCAGCGAGGGGGGACTGCACTCCCTCTCCCACTAATCTCGCCCACCACTCCCACTACACTGCACTCTACATGAGCTCTGCTGCCATAGCACCACGGACCACCACCACCATGCGCCAAGCAAGTCATTGCAGGTGAGGGGAGGTGAGGAGAGGTGAAGTTCGGCAGTAGTAAAAGAGACGGAATAAGACAGCGAGGGGGGAGGTGAGGTGAAGAGGGGGGGGGGCAAAGAGGAGACTTAGCTGCTTCTGGGACGCGGTATGATCATGGGCACATCATCGCATCCAGTTTGTCACCACCATTTGCACAGTGTTGCGCTGTTGGTCGCCGTCGTCCGCACACGGTCGCACGTGGTAAATCGCCATCATCCGCACACCGTCGCACGCGGCTCGTCCCCAGCATCCGCACAACGTCGCGCGCGGTTCGTCGCATGCCGTTCGTCGCACATCGTCGCATGCGGCATGCCCCGAGCATACGCACAACGTCGCATGAGGAACGTCGCACGCAGTAAGTAGCCATTATCCGCACACCGTCGCACTTGAAACGTCGCATGCGGTTCGTCCCCAGCATCCGCACAACGTCAAACGCGGTACATCGTATGCCCTTCGTCGTAAATCGTCTCAATCGCCAGCATCTGCACGCTGCACACGGAACGACGCACGCGGTTGGCAGCCGTCGACGGCACACAGCCGCACTCGCCATCATTCGCACTCCGCCGCACAGGGAACGTCGCATGCAGTTCGTCGCCGTGTTCCCACACGGTTGCACGGGAGACGTCGTACGCGGATCGTCCCTAGCATCTGCACAACGTCACGCGGAACGTCGCATGCCGTTGGTCGCACATCATCGCGTGCGCCATGTCGCCAGCATCCGCACAACATCGCGCGCGGAAAGTCGCACGCGTTAAGGCACCATTTTCCGCACAACGTCGCACGCGGTAAGTCGCCGTCTTTCGCAGACGGTCGCACGCGGTAAGTCGCCGTTGTCCGCACACCGTCGCACAGGGAACGTCGCACGCGATTCGTCGCCATCTTCCGCACATCGTCGCATGCGGTATGCTGCCAGCATCCACACAACGTCGCACGCAGTTGGTCGCCGTTTTCCGCACGGTCGACATCATCGGGGAAAAGGAATTGCGGGTTTGTTTCTAAAAACTTGCGGAAAAGTGACTTTTTAGTCACCCAGGCCCGACGCTTTCAAGTCAAGGTCAAAAGCGCGGTAAAGGCATCCGTCTGTGTAAGCTTCGGAAAAGCTGCGGGTCGTCGCACGCGGAACGTCGCACGCGGAACGCCGTACGCGGTTGGTCGCATGGTTGCTCGTGGTTCTAGCCGCTTGCCGATTTCCGCGCACGTTACTAGTCGCTCACTATTCGTCACTAGCCGTGCGCCATTCGCTGCTCACCGCTCGCCATTCGACAGTCGCCGATCGCCGCTATCCGCTCTTATTTCGCCGCACACGTCAGGTCAACACCGACGACGGCGTCGCACCCCCATACTCGGCGACGACGGTCCCCGTGTCGCCGTGAGTCACCGTGACGCCGGATGCCGGTCGCCTTGATACGTGAACTTCACTGGCCGAACCATCGAGTGCCGTTGATCGCTTGTCAGTATATCACTTATTCAGGCGACGATCTCGGCAAATTCGCGTATGGAGTTCCAGCGGGTATCATTGCAGAGATTCGAGTTCCGCCAAGAAGACCTACATCAGTAGCATCGCAAACACCTGCTTCCGTCGTCTCGAAGTGCTTCTCTTATCGCTGACGATGATACCCGGAGCTATTTTGACATGAAAGCTGTCGATGCTGTTAGCAAATGATATTAGAAGGCGCCGTGCTCCTGGTGGTGTCAGAGATGCTAGCAGAAGTAGCTCGTATCATCATTCACGACACGGCTTAACGTCCTGACACAGCTTGCTAAGGTAGTTAGCTAGGATCGCCAGCGGTGCTGCTTCACGTATCATGATGCGAGATTCAGATGTCCTTGACTTCACGTTCCGCCATCGGCGACAATAGCAGCCATTGGCCGAGTAGTTAGAAGCTATTTTGGGACGAAGCTTAAGCGTGACGGAAGATACATACGCTCTAATCTTATCAGGAAGATACATACGCTATTTTTAGACCTTTCGGAACCTTATCAGGAAAAATTACTCAGGGATCATGTTGCTGAGCTAAGAATCACGATTACCTTTCAGCCTATCATAATATAGACGCTGTTAACACTACGGAAGTAGCATTCGCGGTAACTAGAACGTTGGAACTTCCTCAGCGGTTACGAATCATCGGTACCGTGGTTATAAGCTAACAATCAGCCTATCAGGAGCTAGATGCTGACACGCCTCCATTGGGACAGAACTTATCGACTGTCATAGTAAGCCTGACAATACTTATCGAGATATGTTGCTACTGTCATAGCTAAGACTAACAAAATGCGCTTCGTAACAAACGTAGTCTGTGATTAGCAACATCTTTGAGGAATTTCGACAGCAGCCATGGAAAGCT